TTCCTCTCTATGAACTTCAGACAAAGCGATGTTCGGCCATTCGATGTACTCGAGATATCAGTTCCCAGAAAACATCGATGCATCGACGCCTCGATGCATCGACTATTTATACATCGAGTAGAAAATTTTCGATGCATCGAAACAAAACATCGATATTTTCGATGCATCGATGTTTTTTCGGCATCCCTACCTTTTATCCAAACCGATTTTAGGCGGACTAGGCAGTCCAGTGTGCGGAGGCCCAGTTGGTTTTTCTCTCGAGAAAAAGTTCAGAACTAAAACGATAAATCTGCCTTAATACTGCGGGTCCAACGTACCCGATTTTGTAGCACCCACTAGATTTACAATAGCAACTATTAAAAAAAAAATTAACATGATAAAAAAAGTAGTAGAGTACATGAAAATAGCAAAGTTAAGGAGTTATACAGCTGAAAAGCATCAGATATTGATTATGAGAACACGATAAAATCATATTTGGGTTCATTGGACCCGGCCGATAGACAAAGGGGTTAATGGAAATAATTTCTTTTTGGTTTTATCAAGGCGAATTTATACAAGGTGGTGTTGATGGCGAATTTAGATTTTCGCGGAGGTACGTTTTAGGGCCGGTTGTTCAATGTCTGGTTATCAGTACTTGCCGGTTAAACATCATTATCGACGTTTCCGACATCATGCACATAACATGTGATCGATAAAGCAGTCTTTGTATTTAACCAGAGCTTCTACCTCCGATTTGTGCTAATCAGACTTTGTACAACCGGGCCTTAATGTCAACATCAAGGTGAATTTATAACGGGTGATTTTTTAAGAGCTTGATAACTTTTTTTTTAAAAAAAACGCATAAAATTTGCAAAATCTCATCGGTTCTTTATTTGAAACGTTAGATTGGTCCATGACATTTACTTTTTGAAGATAATTTCATTTAAATGTTGACCGCGGCTGCGTCTTAGGTGGTCCATTCGGAAAGTCCAATTTTGGGCAACTTTTTCGAGCATTTCGGCCGGAATAGCCCGAATTTCTTCGGAAATGTTGTCTTCCAAAGCTGGAATAGTTGCTGGCTTATTTCTGTAGACTTTAGATTTGACGTAGCCCCACAAAAAATAGTCTAAAGGCGTCAAATCGCATGATCTTGGTGGCCAACTTACCGGTCCATTTCTTGAGATGAATTGTTCTCCGAAGTTTTCCCTCAAAATGGCCATAGAATCGCGAGCTGTGTGGCATGTAGCGCCATCTTGTTGAAACCACATGTCAACCAAGTTCAGTTCTTCCATTTTTGGCAACAAAAAGTTTGTTAGCATCGAACGATAGCGATCGCCATTCACCGTAACGTTGCGTCCAACAGCATCTTTGAAAAAATACGGTCCAATGATTCCACCAGCGTACAAACCACACCAAACAGTGCATTTTTCGGGATGCATGGGCAGTTCTTGAACGGCTTCTGGTTGCTCTTCACTCCAAATGCGGCAATTTTGCTTATTTACGAAGCCATTCAACCAGAAATGAGCCTCATCGCTGAACAAAATTTGTCGATAAAAAAGCGGATTTTCTGCCAACTTTTCTAGGGCCCATTCACTGAAAATTCGACGTTGTGGCAGATCGTTCGGCTTCAGTTCTTGCACGAGCTGTATTTTATACGGTTTTACACCAAGATCTTTGCGTAAAATCTTCCATGTGGTCGAATAACACAAACCCAATTGCTGCGAACGGCGACGAATCGACATTTCACGGTCTTCAGCAACACTCTCAGAAACAGACGCAATATTCTCTTCTGTACGCACTGTACGCATTCGTGTGGTTGGTTTAATGTCCAATAAAGTAAACTGAGTGCGAAACTTGGTCACAATCGCATTAATTGTTTGCTCACTTGGTCGATTATGTAGACCATAAATCGGACGTAAAGCGCGAAACACATTTCGAACCGAACACTGATTTTGGTAATAAAATTCAATGATTTGCAAGCGTTGCTCGTTAGTAAGTCTATTCATGATGAAATTTCAAAGTAGAGGTGGGTAACTCAGCACTGTGCTGAGTTACTGTGCTGACTCTTAGAAATGTGCCGCACGCTCAGACTCACCTCTGAAAATATTTGTAACTCAGTAACTCAGTTTATGTGCTGACAATGTATAGCTCGGTGTGCTTCAGTGTCGATATGGTAACTCAGTTGATGTGCTGACACTTGCATAGCTCGGTTCGGCTGCATTGTTTAGAACTGTGTCGATGTGGTAACTCAATTGATGAGCTGACCCATTCACACGATCTTCCAAAAAGTACCATAATAGATGGCATCACGAGACTTACCATCAGTTGAATATACGACTACCAAATTTAACAAGCAAGGCGAATAACCCAGTTATGCATACTTGCACTGCTATACCCATTTTACGTAAAAGTCAAAACCAAACCGAATTATACATGTGAAGTGCTATGCGTTGGGTAACCGCTTACGTGCATAGCCCATTTAACAGATTCTTATGTGACAACTCTCAAGCAAAACTAAGTAGGGAATTTATTCGCAAATGAACTCACCAGTTGAAATCAGCTCTCTAAAATTTTGCCGACCAACTACGAATAGAAGCTAAGGATAACCTTTTCCAAATCGATTTCGATTACTAACATCGTCAATAATTTCGATGCACATACCAATTGTGCGATAGCACACTTGTGCCAGCTCTCTGTGCTGACTCATTAAAGTGAGTTGGAGTTACTGAGTCAGCACACCAAAATTTACAGAGTTACCCACCCTTATTTCAAAGCATACTGAGCATCTTTCTCTTTGACACCATGTCTGAAATCCCACGTGATCTGTCAAATACTAATGCATGAAAATCCTAACCTCAAAAAAATCACCCGTTATAAGGTGGTGTTACTAGCTCAGCTGATTTTGTGTATGTGTTTCGCCGCACGGCTTCTGGTATCAAATTGAAAAATTTTGTTTGCATTTCTACACACACTCTTACAGATTTTGACAGTTTATGCCGCCAAAGCAAAAACAAAATACATGTAAATTTTTGTTTTTGTACTCCTGCTATCACCTTATATTAATTCGCCTTGGTCAACATGATGTGTTTGTTGTAAAAAGAATTCGCCTTGTTTACACAAACACATCATTTTGACATTCAGTAGTACCGCGGCGAAAATTTAATTCGCCATCAACACCACCTTGTATAAATCCGCCTTGGGTTTTATAGTCCGATTTTGCATTTATTAAATTTTAGATATGCCGAAAAAACGAAAATCTAATTTGTCGAAAATATCTAAAAAAGCGAGAGCTATGAAGATAATTAGAAGTAAAGAGACTTCCACTCAAGCAGAGCTGAGAAGGATTGAGCAAGCTAGACGTCAAGCAATTGTTAGGGTGGCCGAAACGTTGGAGCAGGCAGATAGTCGACGCCACCAACATGCCAATTACATGTCGTCCCGACGAGCTGCAGAGACGTCAATTCAATTGCAGGTAAGGCGCGAGCAACAAGTTCAGCGGCAGGCCAATCTGAGAGCTTCTGAAACGCCAGAGCAGGCTGATAGGCGACGACAACAAAATGCCCATTATATGGCGTCCCGACGAGCTGCAGAGGCGCCGGAACAATTGCAGGTACGGCGCGAGCAACCAGTTCAGCGGAAGACTAGTTTGAGAGCACCGCAATACCGGAGCAAGCGGATAGTCGACGACAACAAAACGCTCATAATATGGCGCCCCAGCGCGCTGAAGCGCCGGAATACTCGCAGGCAAGACACGAGTAATAAATTCAGAGGCAGACTAGCTTAAAAGCTACCGAAAACCCGGAGCAGGCGGACCAAGAAAAGGATTTCCCGTTTTATCATTCCGGGCTCTTTTCAGACAGTTCAATACTACGGGATATTATGGGCCATGGCCAAGGTACATTGAACAGGTAGTATCAGTAGAGCAGCTGATTTGATTTATTTTCAAATTATTTGGTCTCGAAAATGTCAAATATTTTTAATTTTTTCTCACAAAAGTTCTGAATTGTTAAAATCCATTTGCATGTGAAACCTTTTTCCATACAAAACAAGCGATTGAATAGCAGCTTTTGGAACGTTCGCCCAACTCAGCAGCACAACCGCTGATTACTGGCCCTTGTAAAGGATGGATCAATGCTTCGAGAAGCAAACAAATTAACTAGGAAAGAAAGTTGCATCAATTTTTATTTTTTCCAATTTCATTTTTTTATTTTTTTTTTATTTTTTGTAATTCACATGGCACGCTTTGATTTAGAAGAAAAAACTCAGATCAGTTTTTGACACTTTCGATACCAGAAGCAACAACAAAATACATGCAAATGTTGTTTTTGCTCTACTGATTCTACCTGTTTAATGTGCCTTGGCCATGGCAAAATAACTTAACAGTTTTTAATATGAATATGATAAGTTTTAGTTTTAATATGATACGTTTTTAACACCCAGTTGTTAGCGTACTTTTTTGTTGTAAACTTTTTAATGCTGGAGCAGATAAGCTGAATAATTCATTTTGCAAATATAATTATCTATTATTGAAGTACTATTGATTTTGATAGCGGTAATTAAAATTATAAACGAATGCCCACTTAAATGGATAATACTGATAAACTAAAGACTATTATAACTGCATTCCACAAAAAAATGTTACCTTTATTTAATAAAGAAAAAGTGGGGGTCATGTTGCACATGAATATATTTCTTTATTCTTTTCTAAACCAAGTGAACTCTAGTCAACTAAAGACGAATAAGAGTTTACAAGAGTGTAGCAGATGCCATAAACATGTACGTTCAGCGAACCATAACTTCTGAGCCAGGTAAACACTAAAGGTATCCGGACTTCTGTTGGAATGACCCTGCTTTACCCACGGTCAGTTCAGGCTTCAAATAAAACGCAAGTTATGTTTCAATTAACTACCAGCCATGGCTACCAGCGGTTATACAAAATTGTGATAGCTTTGCTCTTTTCGAGATACGCATTCTATTAGATAGTGATATAATAAAATAAAATAAGAAAATTTCTAAAGCGGTTGTTCTTCGGCAGGTAATGGGAAGTGTATTTCTGCCATGGAAAACAGTATTGGTACAGAGAATTTATCGCAATGTATGCATTGTTTTTTTCTAATTTCTTTTAGCTTTTTTTTTTAATACCCATAAAAATAAACACTGCATAAACAAATACATGAGAGAGTAGGTTTGTAGTTTATCTTCCACAGGTTTTAGTCCGGTTCCCCATATTCATCAGTCTCCTGTTTCCCATATTCCTGTTCAACAGGAAGTGTATCAGGTATTAGCTGACGCAGTGTACTGCAGCAATTCTCACATTTCAACTTGACCGTGTAGCAACGCTCAATCTCGCGAATGCATGATAAGCAAACTTTTATGGCAGCTTGTCTTCCCGTTTTGGCTATCCAGAAATATAAGTATTAGACAAAATATACATTGTTTCATAAGAAATCAGCAAGTACTCTGCTTTTTGTAAAATCATGCAACATGTTGGCAATACACTTTCCACTGCTACCGTCCTCGTCTGTAGCGACCTTTCGGCCACTGAGACTTAAGCAAGTGCGGCAGATCATTTCACTATTCATTGCCATAAACGCAAACGATTGGGGTGGGAACTTATGAAGATTTTACAGCGGAGAAGCAAAGACCGATGCAATTTTTAGACGATTTATAAGAACAAACACGTAAAATGACACGCTATAACGATAGTGATGGATAACTATCGATGGGGATATCGATATTATCGATGGTTTCATTTTGCTGCCGCTATCGAATTTTTCTAAACACTATCGATAATAGTAATAGGGAATTTACATGAGGCGATTTTTAGTTGAATGCAACAATCGCCTGGTGTAAAGGGCCTATCAACTAATCGCTTTCAATGAAGTTGGTCGGCTGCCTACATTCATTCAACTTTTGGTTCAACTAATCGCATGTGAAAGTTGAGTCATGTAAATTCCCTATAAATTGATCACATTCAAGAATAGGTTTGTATAGTAACTTTTCCAGCATCAGCGTAGCCAGTATGAAATTTAGGGGGGGGAAGGGGAATCGACCCTATTAAGCTGGCATTTCAGGGTACTATTTTACACATATATAAGGGAAATTTGAAAGTTAAAGGGGGCTCGAGTACCCCCCGGCTCCTACCTGGCTACGCCCATGTTTTCCAGTAAAACAATAGGTTTGTATAGTAACTTCTGTAGTAAAAAATTGCAACAAGAGCGTAAAAGCAGAATAGAGCGTAAATTGAAAAGAAAAGAAAACTAGCAGGAAAAGTTATTGAACACAAAATTTGAAAAAACTTGCAAGTGAATAGTTGTTGCACCGTTTTGACATTCTGCTGTAAGCATTTTACTATTTATAAATCAGTTTCAAACTCTTTGCTTTACACACAAGCACTTTCACAGTCCAGTACCTCGTTTCTGTAACAATTCTCTACTAAGGCGAATGGAGATATGAATTCGCCGCCTTGTTCTCTACTGCTAATGAGTAGTAGAGAATGACGTATATTCTCTACCAGTAGAGAAAAAATCGGTAGAGAAGAGTTACAGAAACGAGCTACAGTACATCATTAATATTTTGATTTTCACTCATTTTACTTTTAACCAATTAACCAATTCAACACAATCACAAAACGTATTTGGACAAAAGAGAAAACACGCTCCTGATGTTCTCACTCGTTACAATTATAACGTGTTGTCTCTTATAGATTTACGTTCTTTGTCACGATATCTGTGTTTTCCTGTGGTGACAGGGTCTTAAGGGCCCAGGGCTGCAAATAGTTCGTACCGCAACTCATGTAACTTCTTAGCAACCCTGTGTCTATTGTCAATTTTGTCATTGCCACAAAGCAAAATGAAAGAAAAAAAGTCAGAAAGAGTGAAAATTCGTCGAGTTTACGCAAATACTACAATTAATTAAAAGTGCACAAAAATAGGCTTCTAAGGGCGTGCAGTTTTTTATTGAAGAAAAGTAGAAAGAATTGCTCATATAACCTGGACACAGGCAATTGGGGAAAACAAGTGTCGATTACTGTTCTAATAAGAAAAACAAGTTCCGCAAGTCCCTCTGTGAATGTGAATATACGCTACTTGTTTCCAATAAGTTTTTGCTTTCGTCTTTTTGTAGGGCTTAAAAGAAATTCCAATAAGCGCAATGAGAAAGTGATGCAGTGTAATATTGGAAATAGATTTGCATTAATTATGCAAAAGTATCGTCTATAGAAAATCAATAAAATCTGATTGCAACGAATAGAAAAGAACGTTTTTGGAAGTACCATAAAGTAAGGAGTGCTCCTCCAGACGGCAGTGACACAGCGTTGGTAAGTATGTAGGTGGTGTTTTTATCATGGGTGGCTCTATGCTCATACATATGTATGTACATATGTATACATATGTGCACATATTGTTCTGCGGGACTGCTATGATGGTGGGGGTGCCCATGGCTTTTCATTAGCCAACAGAAAATGTAAATAAATAAAATTAGCTGCACTCGATCATTGGAGCAATTCGAATTCTCTGCTAACTGGTGTAAATGTGGACAAATACATACATACATACTTATATGTATGTACCTATGTACATATTTCTCCGAATAAGCTTTACTTAAAAAATTTAAGTTGGTTAATGATCACTACCAAGTAGCTAATCTCAGGAGTTAAAAGCCCTTCCGAAAGGCCTTCCACTCTACATTCCTTTCTTTTTTGTATGTACAAATTGAAAGACTTCTTTCGCTACCCGTAGAAGGACTTTCATTGGACGTACCGAGCGTACTTCAGAAGGCCTTTTGGGGGAGTTCTTTTAGAGTTGCTTCTTTCAATTTCTTTCAAAATCGATAATCGACTAACAGGCGTTTATCTACTATTAGTCGACACTCGCAATAGGGGCTTACACCCCTTTTAGAAGGCAAGCAAGGAAGCACTTTTTTCAGCGCTTCTTGGGTAGGCCTCTTCGAATGGCTTCACTTAAGAAGGCCTACCTAAAATATCTTCTGGGTAGTAGACTAGTAGACGTTTACACTGGCCCAGCCACGCTGTTGCCACTGCCGTTTTTTGTCATTGCCAACGGCAATATACTTTGAAATAAGTATATAGCTAGTTTACAAAATAAAATTGTATTTTTGAAAGGGTTATATTGTATAAAAATTGAAGCCACTGGTACCTACTAAGGCTAGTCGTTAAGCTAGATTTGCCGGCTCAGGGATTATGGACTCGCCGCCATTTCGAGAGCAAGGAAGGTTACGATTTTTTTCTCACTCACGGGAACAGTAATTCTAGGATCTCAAGACTATGCTCCGACGTTAGTATTCATTCGCGGTAGTCGAATCCTGTGTAGATTTTATTCCATCTCATATTTTTTTTTTTACACAGGATTAAAGTTTAATACTTTTGTTGAACAATATAATTTGTTTTTCATTACACTTCCGCCTTGATTCGCTGAATATTTATGGTTTTGGTGAACCTTAGTAAAATTGGTTGCTTATATTTATAAACATTTACGGTAATTTTTCCTACAGTAATCCGAAAAGGCGATTTTACAACCCACAAAACAAAAAAAAAATTTAAAATTTAAAATTTAAAATTAATTTAAGAACGAATAAAATAAAAGTATAATCTCAGAGTGCGAATGCCTAATACTACCTAGATGGCTTGATAAGATTATGGGACGATTCTTTATAAAGTCGAGGATGGAGGGACGCCTATGAAATAAATACATAAATAAAAAACTAAAATTTAAGATTTAAATGATATCGGCAGCTGGATTCCAACAACTATGCCAATAACGCTCCTATTCCCAGAGCTCTAAACGAGTTTGACTCGCTCTTAAAATCGTCTGCTATTAATTTATATTTTATTTTTTGCCAAATAGTCTGTATGAAATATTTATTTTCTAGATAAATAAATAAACATCTAGTTACATACATACATACCCCTCATTCTGTTAGATTCGGCTGATTACACATTTTGTACCTGTTACTTTTCCATGTTGTATAGCTTTAGGCCCAACTGCTTTTCATTTAGAGATTTTTGGCATCGAAAATTAGGCGTATCGATTGTCAGAATTCCATTGCGGTCTTTTTTTTGTGTTGCTTCCGCCTGATTGCTACATTAGCAAATATTTATCCATAAAGTATGCAACGTCTGGTATTTTAAGTGAGTTTGTTCTTTTTTCATGGGTCAAAAATTTATTTGGAAATTTTTAAGATAATTCTATTTTTTTTAAAACAGAAAGTCATCCTTCATAGCTAGAGGTAGTACTCTGAAGGATTAATAGTTACATTATTGCTACTACCAGGTAGTAGTAGGGCGGAAGCAATACCACCACAGAAATTGGTTTATTTTTGCGGATGCTTTCCCTTCGATAGGGGCGTGATTGAGAACTCCCAAACATCCAACCAACGAAGAACTTTGCGTATTTTTATTGTTATAGCAAAGTATTCATGTATGTTTGTATGTATGTACATGCGGTTTGTGCCAACTCCGACTCTATATTCGCCTATAAAACTATTCGCTCTAAGCTAGTCTAGTTAAAATTCCCCTGCAGTCACAACAAAATGGTCTCTAGTTGGAGTAGTTTTGTCTGCCTTGCCATTCAGATGAATTGCAGAAGAGAATCGTAACCTTGTTTTCATACTTATATGGATGTATACATATACATATGTACATATGCATACATATTTATGTTATGCATATGTATATATTTATGTTTGTATGTATGAACATTCATAACTCAAAGTATACTTAAGCACCACTCGCTTGATTAATATATCCGTTGTAACCATAAATAAATACTATTCATTCGATAAAAAATGTAAACAATTTTTTTAGAATTGAAATTTAAAAAATGATTTAAAATTATTTCTTTGACGTATTTTTATTTCTCTGGCCTTCCGACTTTCGCAATACATATTGCGCCAACTTCGACGTTACATCAATGCCAAAATAAAAAGTTATTAATATTCGACGCGGCCATGCTTTAAAAACAATTAAAGCAACCACAAGTTTCCTTTTATGTCTCTAAAATGACATTCAAATAAGGAGGAGGCACTTGTCTTGTCGGAACTAATGCACTTTGCAATTACTACATATGTACATACAGGCATATGAATATGTGTGTATGTATGTATGTACATTTACAAATTCGAATACTCAGTGTGTATTTGCATTGGAATTTTACCGCCCAATTTGATAAGCGTCAGCATTTTATTAAAAATAACTATCTTACGAGTTTGCATTAAAAGGAAAACAACTTTTTTTTTGTTGTGAGTGGAAGGCATCGGCATTTAAACAATTTACTGGTAAAATAATTGAAAAGAATATACAAATTTTACATAATTCTCACGTCCTATAATAACCGTTCCGCACTCTCTCTCTCTCCCTCTATGTTCGCTTATTTTGCGTCTTGCGTAAATAAATGTATCGCTGCAACATCAGCAGTGGGAGGTACATAGGCTCCACAATCATAGATTTACATTTTCATGTATCTATGCAAATCAACATACAGACATATTGATATGTGTACATAATTGAATCGAATTTTAAATGGCTGTTTTGATTTATTTCTATACTTGAACGTATTTGCGTGCATGTTGCACGTCTGCTATATTTAACCGAGGCTTCTCCAATGGTGCATACATTGTACAAATGTACATATGTACATGTAAACATGGAAATTCTCGGAAGCATTCCTTGGTTGTATTTTTTTTTTTTAATTTTGAATGCATTTCATAACATATTCAGTTAATGGATTTTTGTAATTCAAATTCTTTTATACCTATGTACATATTAATTTAAAATTGTTACATTATTTTCAGCTTGTAATGGCCACATCACCACGCTCCGTCGACACTATATCACTTTGTTCCACCGTTTCCAGTTGCCCAGATCGCAATGGCTTTTACGGTGGTTTTCAGCGCACAGAAAAGCCTAAAGAACCACTCTCCAAGGCGCAAATTATTGCGCGAGAAAAGAAATGGTTATATATGATTGATAATTGGTCGCTTTATATGTCCAAAAACTACAAAAAGGTATTTAAAACTATTTACATACTAATACATGCACATGTTCGTACATCTTTTTTAATGTGGAATTATTTTTATAGATTCGTGATCGCTGTCGCAAAGGCATACCAAAATCGGTGCGTCCACGTGCTTGGTTTTATTTATCTGGCGCTTATTTGCTAAAAAAGAAAAATCCCACTGTCTATAAAGAATTACTCGAACAGCCCGGTAATCCACATGTCATCGAAGAAATCAAAAAGGATAAACATCGTCAATTTCCTTTTCATGAAATGTTTCTGGACGAGGATAAAGTGGGACAAATCGAATTATTTAATGTATTAAAAGCGTATTCCATCTATAATCCGAAAGTGGGCTTTTGTCAGGCGCAAGCGCCGATAGCTGCTTTCCTGCTTATGCACCTGCCGGCCGAAGATGCATTTTGGGTATTCGTTAGCGTTTGTGATGTGTAAGTTGAGTTTCTCTTTATATGAAAACAAACAAAATCAAATTTATCTAAAAGACTAGGAGATTTCTTCTTATTTGATACGCACGAAACTAAGAATGGATTTTAAAAAGTCTATATAGTTGAGAAATTGTTTCTGTTTTGACTGCATGAAACGCACTAAAAATAAAAAGGCTTATAAATTAAAATTTGGTCCTAGAAGTAGGCAAAACAAACTGCAAATTATTATATTTCTATACAACTAATTCCAATATTTTATTTTAAAAATCAATTAAACTAAAGCAAACCATATTTTTTAGAAATTTAAAATATTCCTAAAAATTGTAATTTTCTTATCAATTTTTTTTGTTAGGAAAAGGAAGTGTTGTTGTAGCATTTATTTCCTCCAATTAGCAACATTTCACAGAGTTGTAGGAACTATCTCATGCTATCACAGCAATAAAAGCAAGCGACTATGTATTTTTGTTCTCAAACCATAAAAAATACAATCTTTTTAAAACTGCGCTTCATCTCTACAGCTACCTAGAGGATTATTTCATAACTGGTCTTGAGGTGCTGCAAAACGATGCTGGCATACTGGAAGGGCTCCTCAAGAAAACCTGTCCGCCCGCTTATCGTCACCTGCAAAAACACAAAGTCGAACCCTTACTGTACATGACCGATTGGTTTCTATGCGCTATGACACGTACACTACCTTGGGAAACATTGTTACGCGTCTGGGATTGCTTTCTAGCCGAAGGCATACGTGTCATTTTCAAAGTAGCACTAGTGATAATTGGTGCTTCGCTGAATCAACATAAGGTTCGTAAACAATGTACTGGACTTTGCGAAACATTAGAGGTGCTACGCTCACCACCAGAGCATGTGCTCGAGGAGGAGTTCATTATCAATAATATACAAAGGCTAAATTTGCGCGTGGAAGACTTTCAAATCGAACATACACGGCAAAAAGCGCGAAGAGCCAAACAGAAAGCTATGCAAGAAGCAGCAGCGGCGGCGGCGACGTCCACTGCGATGACGACGACGACAGTGGCATCCACTTCGCACGGCAGTGCTGTTAGCAGCAGTAGCAGCAATGGTGCAAGTACTGGAGGTGGCGGCGGAGGCGGAGGCGCTAGCAATGGTTATAGGCTGTAATGTTAGCACAAAGCGCTTAAAGGCAGCGGCGAGAGTGCAAAATTAATTGTCGAAAAAGGAATAAAGCCCGTAGCCGAGTTGAGGAAAGCTAAAATTTTGGTATCACTTGAGTTTTCCGTCCTTAACTCGGTTGTGGTAATATTTTAACACTTTGTATTGATAGAAATTTTTCTAGGGTGCTAAGCATTCACTCAAAGTTGTTTTTTTTTAATGGTAATAGTATTTAAGCAGCGAACACGAATATAAACAAAAAAAAAGATATATAGAAATAAAATATAATTTCAAGCAAAAGCAATCAAACGACTAACCGAGAAGTTTTAAAGTAAACGCACAGTATCGAGGAATTGCAAATTGCAAGATGAGACTAATAAATACATACATACATACATTACATACATACATAGACAGACATTCATAAACAAAGACTTACATACACTATACACAAATGCATTATAAAAAATCTATATTTTTTTCTTTCTTACCCAGTAGAACTTGGGAGCATCGTACGATTGCTCGGTGAGTACTCCCTTGGGAGTATACGAATACTCCCCATTGCTCCCTATGCTTCTGTGTATAAGCATGTAATTTTGTATACTCCCTTTAACATTGGATGTCCTAGGAGGGGGAGTAATCCCTTTTACCTCCTAAACGAGCAATCGGGGAGCACACACAGAATTATCATCCCACAAACCTCCTAATAGAGCAATACGGGAGTACTCCCATAGTTACCTCCCAGAAACCTCCCAAAAAGACAACAAGGGAGTGCACATAGAAAACATCCCATATTCCTCCCGAACGAGCAATAAAGGAGCGCTCCCATTAGAGACATCCCGAAAACCTCCTGTAGGAGTAATAAGAGAGCAATGATAACGAATATTTTACATTAGCCAAATGGATTTTGCTATTTATAAAATTTTTTTATTTAACTTTTTAATCACATGCATTTGTGCAATATTACAAGATCTTAAAAATAAAGCATAAATGATACGTCTTACATAATTGCTTAATTTTAGAAATAATTAATTAATAATTAAAACATAATAATAACAAAACGGTAAGATAAGATTTGAATTATATGCACCTATATGCACATATAAGTATGTACTCCTATATGATTTCCTGGGTGTCAAGGATGCTTGCCAGTTCAGGAATCCACCAAGCGGGGAAATTGTGAAGGTGACTTTGCTTATCTGACATCTTTGTCACCCATGCGATGTTTAAAGCCGGGGGTCACACTTAAATGCTGACACTAATTTGCGCAATCTGAAAAGTATTTAAGGGTGCATTTACAAGTAATACAATACATACTTAATATATTTAAACAAAAATTGAAGTGCATACCAACGGACTTTTATTAAAATCTGTGTGCTATCCAAATTAAATTATTGTGTGCTCCTTATGCTTCTATAAGAAATATTTTCTGTTGTTTTTTTTTTGTATGATAAATTTTTTCGAAAACACAAATTTCTTTTGGGCGAGATGCGTATTGCTCTCCTATCAATCAAAAAGAATACTCTTGGATTTATCGCTTAGGAGACATCACTTTTTGCTCCTAAGCGAGTAATAACGGAGTACAAAACCGACAAATCTCGCTTATTGCTCCCAAATCATGCCTCAGGGAGCATTCTTTAATTGCTCGCTTAGGAGATCTCTCATTAAGCTCCTAAGCGAGCAATACAGGAGTACAAAACCGAGAAATCTCGTTTACTGCTCCCAAATCATGCCTCAGGGAGCAATATTTCGTTGCTCGCTTAGGAGATCTCTTATTTGACTCCTATACGAGTAATAAAGGAGTACAAAACCGACAAATCTCTCTTATTGCTCAGAAATCAGGTTAAGGGGAGTACTCTTTTATTCCTCACATAGGGAGATCTCCCTTCAAGTTCTAGTGGGTACTTCCAAAACTTTTATCTTTACAGAAAATGCACAAAATATTTTAAGGTATACAGTGGCGATCAATACAATAGCAGAAAAACTGAAAATTATGCTGTTGGCAAACTATCTTTATTGGTAATAATTTTCATTTAAAATATGGGTCGATCTATATTAGATACCACATAAATAAATGTTTCGAAGCTTGCATAGAGTTCACAAAAACTACTTAAACTTAAAAAAAATTTCACCAAAATATCGATGTTTCCTAATTAGATTTCGTGCAAAGATTTCGAGTATGCAGTTTTATAGCCTATTTTATTTTAGTGTACAAGTTTCAACTTCTTCCATATAACGCATGAACAAAACTTACTTTTATATGGAAGAAAAAGCGCAACACCCTAAACAAAAAAAAAAAAAAAATTAAAAAAATCAACCGCAATTGCATATTCAAAAATCTCTCTGGGAAATTTAATTAATTATTAGTTTTTGTGATCTTTGCGCAAGTTTTGAAACTTTTATTTATGTGGTATCTGATATATGTAGATTGACCCATATTTCAAATGAAATAAATGAAAATTATTAACAATAAATAAATATAGATACGTTGCCAACAGCATCATTTTGAATTTTGCTGCTATTACTTTGACCGCCACTGTACACTGTTGTTGTTTCTTTTTATTTGTGTAACTGATAGTCATTTAGGAAAATTTAACAAACATCAACACTTATGAATATCAATCACGGCGCATCGAAAAAGAAGAGGCCTAAAAAAGTTGACATCAAAGAGTACATATCAGTAAAGGAACATGAGAAAGCAACTAGTTGAAGAGGTCACTTGAATTAAGTGCTGCTCATTTCACAAGTTCAATAGAAATAATTTCAAATACAAAGTAGAAAATGCTTTAAAATAGTTTCATCAGAATTTAAGTCGAGTTCTTCGCTAGCTCGCGAGCAATAATTATTCAAAATATGCAGTTAAATACTTGATGCTTTTGATAATGTTTACATTTATATTTAATTATTATATACGCGGTACTAAATTTTTTTAGGTGCAGAGATGAGTTCCGAATTGGAAACAATGGTTTTGGTCATTCCGGAAGAATTATTTGGTTTATGAATATTTTTTAACATTATTGTATTCACATATTATCGAGAATTGTGTACATTTAGTTACTAATTCAAAATACTAGTTTACATATGTATATATGTACGCATGTCAGTGGACTTTTGACAAAATAATATTTTAAAATTCTTCATTTTAGATGGAAACATCTTGTATACAAACGTACATATGTTGCTTAGTCAAATGTCCACAGGTATACATATGTATGTATGTGGTTATTTCTGTATGCAGCTACTTAGCTATACACAAAGTATTTAAGAACATAAAATTCGTGCAATTTGTTTGTTTACCTTCTGAAGGTTTAAATATTATTTATGATATATTAAATAATTATAAAAGTATACGGTATTATTTAAACTACTTCTATGCACGTTGTGCGACTAATCAATTCATACTTACCATGATAAAAAAGACAATAATAAAATGATTGTAAATACACGTGTGGATTTTTTTTGTCTCAAAATCTAATGAGTGCATTATATTCAGGAAGGAATAACCTAAAAAATGGAGACAAAATGTTTATGATTATATCGTTTGTTTCAATAAATAGCTTCTGCTAATTTGAAGAGAATTTGAAAACTTTCGTAATAAGTTGGTTAGTCGCACGTCGTACAACAAATATTTATTCAATATACATAAACGTTTAGACTAACTTATGCGCAAACCAACAAAACTTATCGTTATAACGACAAAATCAGACAGGTTCTGCATTTCACTTCTGAGGGACAGACAGGTTCTGCATCTCACTTCTGAGGGAATTTCAATACGATTCAATTTGATTTCTGTAGTAAACCGTAATTATGCAATCTATGCGGGTTGACCTTGAAAAATACGCTCAATTAGATTCTGCTGTTGCATCAAACTCTTCTTCTTGGTGTTGTTTCAAAATCTGTTGATTTTGCACGCCTTTTTTTGATGCCTCGAATAATGCCTTAAATTGTGAGTGAACCATTTCGAAGAATGCGTCTTTTCTAAATTATCCTCGTCGCCAATGTAGTAAACCATAATTATTTAATAAATAACGAAGATTTACAAAGGGAGATGTTAATGCAATTGCAATAGAAATCAAAGTAATTTTTAAATTTAAATCTGTGAAATAATTTGTCAAAAAGTGCATAGTTTTTAAGAAAACGAAATTCAACGCAAAGTAAATAATCAAGTCTCGAACACTTCATTTATCCATTTGTAACAATTTCAAAGTGGCTTTGGTTGAAATTCACACGGAAGTGAATTGCAGAACCTGCCCGAATAGTAAAATTTATTAAAATGAAGGCGCCAACGTTTATTTATTTAAGATACATACATATGTACATAAAATCATTTTTTGTGCTTCCAAAACTTAATAATAATTCCAAAAATAATCAAGTCAATAATAAAATAATTTAGTAATCTTTATATTAATTCTCCCTTTGCAAATATACATCGAACTTTCGGAAATGTTTGCATCTACAAAAACAAAGTATATATGTATATGTGAAAACATAAGGTAATTGTTTGTTTTTTTCTTTTAATCAAGTATAAATTGGTGCGCTCTTTTCGATTTCTTTCATTGTGTTATATAATATGGAACTGTTATATAATTTGTAAAAAATTTTGTAGAGATTTTCAACCCGCAATATTGTACGCCGTTGTTTGCTCTCGTTTGTACCACACATACATACATAATTACTACATGCATCACCATACATTTGAAACTAATTGTGCTGAAGGGGTGTTAGGAAATGAAGTTATAAAAAAATCGTAGACAAAAACTAATTAAATTGATCCAAAAATTTGTACAACCAACATACAATACTTTTTATTAAATCATACATGTTTAGCTATAATAAAAAAAGAAAACATTTACAAACATATACACAATACATAGGAACGATAAATTTCTTATTTCACACTTTTTGCAAAATGAAGAAATGTTAGTGAAGTGTAAATGAAACCTATGTTTGCATGTAACCGAGTATTTTGAATGAAATATGATTCGACATATTGTACTAACTAACGTGAAAATAATAAAAACGTGACTTTTCTGAACATGAGTAAAAATGAAAGTTTTTATTAAAAGAAGGAAAATGATACACAAACGTTTTTACCTGAAGAAAACATTTCCCGAATTCAACAGTTAACTTAAATTTTGTTTACTGAAAATACATAGAATTTACTTTCGTATTTCAGTTAACTCTGCACTGTGAAAATGGTACTGTATTGAATATTCATAAGGCTCGGTGTGAATTTTATGGACAAAAAAAAACATTTTGATAAATTCAGTTAAAAAGTCGACTACATCGCTACCGAAATAAGTAGCTTGAGTGTAAAAAATACCGGAAGTTAATAAAGCTAAATTGTATATGGGGCGTTCCATAACAAAACGGACGGGGTTCACACTTCATCGCTTAAAAATTGCACATTATTATACTAAAATTTAAAGGGCTACAAAACTGCATACTCAAAAAATTTTAAAAGAAAGATAAAAAAATTTAAATTTGTAATGAACTCATTTTACTCAACTTCGGTGTAAAAAAAACTCATAACTCAAAGTATTTGTAGAGTGCACCCCATAATACTATACTTAAATATTGCGCAATACTCAGAGCTACCATTGTGATTTTTTTTTTTTTAATTTTTTTTTAGACGGCATATTTTCAAAAACTAATTTTTTTTTATAAAAAAAATTTTCAAGGAAAAAATTTTTAAAAATATTTCCTTTCATAGAGAATTTTGATGTGTGTGTGATTTTTTTTAAATTTTTTCTTCTCGAGATGTTTGAAAAATTATTAAATCGATTTGTTTTTGTTTTTGTGCTGTAGTTTTTAAAAATGTATTAATCAAGCTCAAATTACATATTTATTTTTTATGTAAAATCTGAAACAAATCAAACACATGAAGTGTGTCCGTTTTGGTATGGAACGCCCTATATACATATGTATGTATATATCTTCGCCTATTTCAATCTATCTATCGTCGCCGATGCAGAATAAGATGCCAATAGATGTGGCTATATTTTAAGCCTTGAATTTCGTTGAGGGCTGTGGTAAAAAATGCATTTATAAAACAAGTTGTTGTTGTTGTTGTAACAGCATACAAACTCCCCAGACTTTTGGGGAGTGTTGCTGGAGTGACAGTCCTTGGCCAGACATAAATCTGGGTCGTTCCGGTTACGTAGACCCGACTGTCGTGGGAACGTTATAAAACAAGTAAATGAGTTAGGCGCCAGCCAAGGCACATTAAACAGGTAGTATCAGTAGAGCAAAAACAACATTTGCGTGTATTTTGTTGTTGCTTCTGGTAGCGAAAGTGTCAAAAACTGTTCTGAATTTTTTCTTCTAAATCAAAGCGTGCCATGTGAAATACAAAAAATTATAAAAAATAAAAAATTGAAATTGGAAAAATTAAAAATTGGTGCAACTTTCTTTCCTAGTAAAATTGTTTGCTTCTCGAAACATTGATCCATCCTTTACAAGGGCCAGTAATCAGCGGTTGTGCTGCTGAGTTCGGCGAACGTTCCAAAAGCTGCTATTCAATCGCTTGTTTTGTATGGAAAAAGGTTTCACATGCAAATGGATTTTAACAATTCAGAATTTTTGTGAGAAAAAATTAAGAATATTTGACATTTTCGAGACCAAATAATTTGAAAATAAACCAAATCAGCTGCTCTACTGATACTACCTGTTCAATGTACCTTGGCGCCAGCGTTGAAGCACAACATTTCGATTGAAATTTTCATTCAGTCTCTAGTCAACAAAGAATACTCGTATATAAAGTTCTAATTTTCTGTTCTTTTAATTATTATTTTAACGTGACTCCTTAAAAAAAATTACAGTACATACATCAATTTCCTTATACATTACATAGTATATGTTAATATACTCTTTTACAATTTATTTCATTCATTGTTGTTGTTGTAAAGCAAACAAATTCCCCTGCATGTTTATGGGCAACTACGCTCGAATGACAGTCCCTGTCGTGGTCATTCATTCGTTATCATCACTGCCCGATTTTGCCAAGTCGGCGAAGAAGTCTCCGGCATTTGTAAACTTAGACGAGGGCAAATTGTGACGCTTATCCTTGAACGTATTATGCTTTTCATTGTACTTTATGTCACCAAAATCTTCAAAATATTTCACATTCCAAAATCGTACATCATTGTTGTGCGACGATGAGGCAATTAATTCACCATTATTACTCACATCCAGATTTTCAATAGGCATATTGTGCTGCCCCACAATGCCAAGATTACGAAAGGGCGCAATATGGCAAGCACGTATGATACCCTCTTCACCTGCCACACAACTAATGCGATCGGTGATGGGTATCATTTCGCTAATAGGCGTTTTTATGCCAGGATACATGTCGCAGTGATAACCGAATTGGCCCCAATTAAATGTGTAAAGGCGACCTTTGGATGTGCCTACGACTAGTTTTGAATTACCACGAAATGTTCCCATGCTATGTAGCTCCTCCTCATACGGTTCAGATTGTACGTAAAGTTTACGCGCTCCTATATTTAACGTTGTGAGGTAGCCGTCGCCACTAGTGACTAACAAAAGCTTTTTTGCGTCGTTTGTCAGCATATGCGAAATAAAATCTTCAACTTCTTTCAGGGCAAAAATCGAATCTTTAGTACGCAGATCCCAAAGCTTTACTGTACCACCATCATCTCCTGTGGCAAAGAGGTGTTCGTCAATGACATGCAGCTTATTTATGGCTTCGTCGTGTGCGCTTTCATAGAACTTTTTTAGTTTCTCTGTCTCCATGTCGGTAACCATAATAGATTTGTCTTTTGAACAGGTAAGCAAATCTTTACCATCTTCTGTGAATTCGACGTCTCTACATGCTTTGGCGTGTATTTCAATATTTCGCAGCAGTGTATTGCCATCGTTACCATATTCATAAAGGCACACGTCGCCGGTTATTGTAGCGAGTGCTATGATATCACGTTCCGGGTGAAAACAAATGTCCGTAATGAAATCATCCAATTTAATTTCTGGTGGTGCCGTGCGTGGTTTTTTAATTGCTGCAATGATGGCGCGCACAGTCTCATCGTCCTCCTCGTCTTCGTTAAGTTCTAGTACATTACTAACATCATCACCTTCTTGATTACTCCTTCCAACACCACTTGAGCTCGGACCGGCATCACCGGTCGTATTTGCATTATGTGTTTCCTGTTTCGATAAATTGCCAGCTTTATTTCTTATCACCTCCGCTTTATTATCCGACTCCGACATAGAATCATCTGAGTCATCTGGCTGGAAATCAGAACTGTCCTCTTCCGCATCTGGGTCAAAGTCTGAGTCTTCATCCGACTCATCATGAGCTCCGATGGCACTGCCGTATGGTATACTATACTCTACTTCAGAATCTTCTGATTCGAATGGTTCCTCAATGTTAACTTCGAACGCAACCACATCCTCAGCTTCCTCAACAGCAGCTAGTTCATCGAGCTCATCCGATTCCGATCCCTCACCAGGAGTTTTGAAAATTTCCCGCCTATTAAGAACACAAATCAGTATCGTTAACAGCATATGATCAGAGAAAGCGCTACTTACGTCCTCATTTTGGGCGGTGATTTTGGTATGTTTAAGTAACAAGGTATATGAAAGGCAGAAAGTCGATCGATCGCCACTCGGACCTCTGATTAGAGTTGCACAATTTAAAACGTGAAATTAACTATTCCAAGCAAATATTAAACAATGACATGAATGTAGTACAACTGGTCAAAATAAAATATTTATCTCACATGAGGCGTCGATAAAAGAGTTTTACACAGTTGTATTTATATTAGGGTTTTTTCACATGCTCTCCGGGCTGTTTCGGTAATTAGACCGTAAAAATAAGCTTCTCTCTCACAAGTGTCAACAATCTGTCAACCCGTCCAGTTGCGCTTTCGTGGCGGTTGGAAAGGACTTGTTTCCAATCCGCTCATTTTTTGTTTATTATTATTTTAGGTTTTTAATGTACTCTAGGTGGTCGGAAAGACCGAGTTTCCGATCCATCTAGTCTCGATATTTTGGTGGTTGGAAAGACCTAGTTACCCCGTGTAAATAGTGTCTAATTGAACTTAAGGTAAATTTTAAATGGCAAAAAGAATTCATAATCGATTAATTGATTAATCGAAAACATT